CAGGGAGGGTGCCAGGGGGATGGGAACAGTCTTTTTTCAGTGGTGCCCAGTGATAGGACAAGAGGTAACGGGCACAAACTTGACCATAGGAAGTTCCATCTTAACATGAAAAGGGACTTCTTTACTTTGAGGGTGGCAGAGCACTGGAACGGGCTGACCAGAGAGGTGGTGGAGTCTCCCACTCTGGAGATATTCAAAACCCGCCTGGACGCTGTCCTGTGCAACCTGCTGTAGGTGACCCTCCTCTGGCAGGGGCGTTGGACTAGATGTTCTCCAGAGGTCCCTTCCAACCCTGACCATTCTGTGATTCTGTGATATGATGTCCTGGTCCCACAGCTGCTGTGAGCTGACAGCCCTCACAGGGCCCACAGGCGTGTGTCCCCCACTGAATCCCCACCCAACCGAGACCCACGGAGCAGGAGGCTGGGACCTTCAGGATGGAGGCCTTGGGGGGGTAGGGTATCTGTCCTGGGGGGGCTTCACCTCATGGTGGATGCTGCAGCCATGGCAGCACCCCACTGCCCTCCTCCAGCAGTGCTGGGCACCGCGCTTGGGATTTTCCGGCCATGGACAGCCTTATAGGTCACAGTCCCCCTCTACCACCCACTCCCGACATGACCACGGTTGAGTCACCCCATCTTCCTGGGCTGATGCTGCGGCTGTGCTGCTGGACCCACAGCTCGGGACCACTTGGGCAGGGATCTTTCCAAAACCCAAATCTCCAACCTCCTGGGCCAAAACAGAAGCAGGCAGAGGAGGGCATGGGGGAACGGGTGTGCGAGGCAATTTGCAGAGGCAAAGCCAAAGCTGTACAGGCCATCCCCAACTGTTGCGCAGGGAGGCAAATTTTCACTGGTGGAGACAGAGCAGGGCGACGGCAGGAGAAGAAGGTGACAGCCAAAACAGATGTCAGCGCTGGAGCAGGTCAGCAGAGACCTGCCGTTGCCTAAGGGCTGCCAAAAGTGATTTTCTTTGGAAAGATGCTTTGAAACAGGGCCGGTTCCACAGCAAGGGCGCTCCAGCGGGGAGCCAAAGAGAGCATGGGGGGGATGCTGCATCCCCAGGCCTGACCGTGGGGTTGGTCCTTGCCCATCCCACACATCTTTTGGGCAGGGGCTCATATCGGTCCCCTCCCCACCAGCCACAGTGTGTCCTTTCAGCTTGTCATCAAACTGAGCGATACAGGAGGCCAAGGAGCCCTCGTCCTACAATAGCAGGCAGCAAACACAGGTGCTTGACACACTCTGCACCATGCCTGGTTTCCCTGCCCACCATCCCAAAACCCCGCAGCA